TTACATGTCAGGAAGAGAAGGAAGAGGAGCTGCTGGCTGCGCTGGGGCTGCCTGAGAGGTCCAGGAGGAGGAACTCGGGAGACACTCGATGGTTTGTGGCCTCTCATCAAGCCTGGGATCCGGGGCCTAGGAGGCGGACGAAGAAGAATAGATGCAAACCACTTGGGAAATGGTGCGTGAATTTGCTCTGTGGTGGTGGTGAAAAATTGTAGCCTGCTGCTCTCTTCTGGGCTCACGTTAGACAGAGCACTATACAGAGGTAAGAGCCAGCCTTCTTGCTGATCTCCTCAGTCCAGCTTATAAAATTAAAGTGGAAATGGCCCAGAGGTGTGGGCAAAAACTCACCCAATTTGTGTTCTCCTCAGTCTGGAGCTATGAATAGACAAGACAGGCACTGGTCATTACTGGGTATTGTTGAGGACTGCTGAGGATCTCAGGATGGTTTCTGGTTGGCTCCAGTAAAAGAGGAGGAGGAGTGTCTCTCTGGAGTATTGCCGCAACAAGTAGTTTTCATGCAGTGCCATGATTTCTGCGCTATCCAGAAAGAATGGCATCTTGCACTGTCACTTGCTTCACTTTTTCAGACCTGGCAAGGAGTTTATTCTTCAGGGAGAGGAACTCACCTGGGGTTCAGGTAAGTCTGCAGGAATAAAGACAGGATAACACAGACTCATGCACTTTGGTTACGGAGGATGTTGGAATGAATCATAGGGCAAGCTTTATACTGCAGCTCCATGGTCAAGGCGTATTCCCAAGAGCCTCATTGGAAAGAACCTGAGAGTAATTGTCCCTTTTCCTCCTTGTGCTCTTTTGGGTCCAGGCTTGGATAATAAAGACCTGCCACCCGAGTTGTGGTTAATTCTGGCTTCAGTTTCTTGGCCAATTTGGACAATGATACAATCTTCAGGGTGACCACTGCAATCAAACCTTCTGTTACAGAAACACAGGATGCTTATTTTATTGGTCAGCCAAGCTGGGGTGGTGTTCCCAGTTGGAAACGTGTGATCCCATCTGAATAGGATTCATATAATCAACTTTAGGTTCATGGATCTGTCTCAATTCCCAGAGCAAACATTACTAGTTGTATGACTGGAAATCTTCCAAGCTTTCCTGAATCACAAATTTGTCATCTATAAAGTGGAGAAATAATTATTTACCTTTGTCAAGTTGTGGAATCGTGATTAAATGAGGTCATTTATGCCCAAACATCTCATGTCTCCTAACCTCATCAATGCCACAGCTAGGAACTAGGTCACTAGTTGAGGCTGGAACTTGTTTAATGTAGTTGACATTCCCTAACTCTCTGCATTCAATCATACTATATTCGGATAAATTCATTGGAAATAGTCCCCCATATTCTTATCTTCATATGGCATTAGTTATTTTTAAAAGGGCCAGATGACAAGTCTTTTCTTCCATATTTATATTTGGGTGAATGAGATAGAAATAATCTCTCTCCCTAAGAAAGATTAATGAAAACAAGTAAGATAACTATTTACCCCATTCCAGCTAGTCAGGGTCATGGGTGGCTGGAGCCTATCCGGCAGCCCAGGGTGCAAGGCAGGAATCACCCCAGACAGGACAGCCTTCCATCACAGGCCACACCGCCTCCTACTGGAACAATGTAGACACGCTAGCTCATCTCACATGACCATCTTTGGGATGTGACAGGAAACCAGAAAGGCCCATGTAGACGTGGGGAGAACATGTGAACTCCACACACAGTGCCCCAGGCAGGAATCCATCTTTTCTCTCATCACTGTCGTAATGAAACAACGTTGTACAAAACAACCTTGTTGGGAAACCAGCTGTATGTGTTTTCAAAGCACCCAGGTTATGTTAACACGCAGTCAGGACTGAAAACCACTGCTGTAGATTCTAAGAACATTTACAAAAAGGAGTGCCAAAATATTTGTAACATGTAGCCTTTCAAAGACATCACTTAGAAAGGAAAAATTTGACTTGTATGTAAAAGAATTTAAAATATAATCATTAGAAACAAATACCATAACCTGCTTAAGAGAGCAGGGTTGTTGTTAAGTCAGACTTCACTGACAGATATCTACTGAGCATGTTTATTCTAAGTTCCTCGAAGACATATTAATCATTAGATTGCTGTATTTCAACGAGTTGGCAAAGATTCTGTGCCAGGGAATAATGTGCTGGGTCCACAGCACTTAACACCACTAAGAGCATGTCTTCCTGCCAATCACCTTTCCCAGGGCCCTTTTCAAATCCCTGTTCCTCAGGCTGTAGATGAAAGGGTTTAGCATGGGCGTCACCACTGTATAGAACACTGTAGCTGTAGTGTCTTTCTCAGCTGAGTGAGAGGACGAGGGGTTTAAATACAAAGCAATGATGGTGCCATAGAAAAGGAACACGACAGCCAGGTGGGAGCCACAGGTGGAGAAGGCTTTCCATATTCCCTTTGTTAATGGTACTCTCAGGACAGCACAAGCAATAAAGACATATGACACCAGGATGCAAATAAATGGCGCAATCATTATAGGCCCTGCTGCAATAAGAATCATCATCTCATTGAGGTGCGTGTCCGAGCAAGAGAGTTTCAGGAGAGGAGTCACATCACAGAAGAAGTTGGGGATGGTGTTGTCTGCACAGAATGAGAGTCGAGCCAGAGGCAGGAGGTGCAACAGAGCACTCAGGTTGGCAACGACCCATGACCCAGCGACCAGCAGGACACAGAGCTGATGGGTCATCTTTGTCATGTAATGTAAGGGGTGGCACACGGCCACAAAGCGGTCATAGGCCATCACAGCCAGGAGGAAATTGTCCATGCCTGCAAGCACACTGAGAAAATATAACTGTGTGAAGCAACCAGAGAAGGAGATGGTCTGGATCCCAAGCACATGATTGGCTAGCATCTTGGGGGTGGTGGTGGAGGAGAAGCAGACGTCCACGAAGGACAGGTTGCCGAGGAAGAAGTACATGGGGGTGTGCAGGCGGGAGTCGGTGCTGACCGCCAGGATGAGCAGCAGGTTTCCCAGGACCGTGGCCAGGTACATGCTCAGGAAGAGCACGAAGAGGAGCTGCTGCTGCTGGGGCTGCCTGGAGAGTCCCAGGAGGAGGAACTCGGAGACACTCGACTGGTTTGTGCCTCTCATCAGCCTGGGATCCTGGGCCTAGAGGCGGACGAAGAAGAATAGATGCAAACACTTGGGAAATGGTGGTGAATTTTGCTCTGTGGTGGTGGTGATAAAATTGTAGCTGCTGCTCCTTCTGGGCTCACGTTAACAGAGCACTATACAGAGGTAAGAGCCAGCCTTCTTTGCTGATCTCCCTCAGTCCAGCTTATAAAATTAAAGTGGAAATGGCCCAGAGGTGTGGGCAAAAACTCACCCAATTTGTGTTCTCCTCAGGTCTGGAGCTCATGAATAGACAAGACAGGCACTGGTCATTACTGGGCTATTGTGAGGAACTGCTGAGGATCTCAGGATGGTTTCTGTGGCTCCAGTAAAAGAGAGGAGGAGTGTCTCTCTGAGTATTGCCCAACAAGTAGTTTTCATGCAGTGCCACTGATCTGACGCTTACCCAGAAAGAATGGCAGTCTTCACTGTCACTTGCTTCACTTTTTCAGACCTGGCAAGGAGTTATTCCTTCAGGGAGAGGAACTCATCACTGGGGTTTTCAGGTTAAGTCTGCAGGAATAAAGAGCAGGAACACACAGACTCAGCACTTTGGTACAGGAAGGATGTTTGGAAGAATCATAGGGCAAGCTTTATACTGCAGCCTCCATGGTCACTAGGGCTGTATTCCCCAAGAGTCTCATTGGAAAGAACCTGAGAGTAATTGTCCCTTTTCCTCCTTGTGCTCTTTTGGGTCCAGCTTTGATAATAAAGACCTGCCACCCGAGTTGTGTAATTCTGGCTTCAGTTCTTGGCAACTTTGACAATGATACAATCTTCAGGGTGACCACTAGCAACAAACCTTCTGTTACAGAAAACACAGGATGCTGTATTTTATTGTCCAGCCAAGCTGGGGTGGTGTCCCTGTTGAGAAATGTGTGATCCCATCTGAATAGAGATTCATATAATAACCTTTAGGTTTTCATGGATCTGTCTCAATTCCCAGAGCAAACATTACTAGTTGTATGACCTTGGAAACCTTCCAAGCTTTCCTGAATCACAAAATTTTGTCATCTATAAAGTGGAGAAATAATATTTACTTTGTCTCAAGTTGTGGTAATCGTGATTAAATGAGGTCATTTATGCCAAACATCTCATGTCTCCTAACCTCATCAATGCACAGAGCTAGGACTAGGTCCACTAGTTGAGGCTGAACGTTTTAATTATGTTGACATCCCTAACTCTCTGCTCAATCAACTATATTCTGGATAAATGTCATTTGGAAATAGGGTCATATTCTTATCTTCATATGTCATTAGTTATTTTTAAAAGGGGCCAGATGACAAGTCTTTTCTTCCATATTTTGATATTTGGGTGAATGAGATAGAAATATAATAGAAACCATTGCTGAGTCCATTTATAAATTGGTAGAATGTGGACTCCAGTGAGGAAACAGAATTCCTGAGTCCAATATGTATCACTCTTCTAGAATTTTCCTAAATACTTGTCCTGAAGGCAAGATCGGGCTTTAAGGTGCCTATAAAGCATTTGATCTCATGCACTGACAGGTTTGCTTTCCTGGGCTGCTAAAATTAAACAGTTACTCTCAAAAATCATGAACCCTGGGTTAGAGGTGGCAGTTCAATTCCTGAAAAGATTGCCCTCTTGAAACCAGAGTATGCATCTAACCAATCTCCATTTTCAGTTATTTATGAACTGTCCTTCTTCTTCTGACTAATGTGTCTTAATAGATAGCAATTACTTGTTTCCAGTAACTCAAGACCAAAACTTCAGGGTTATAATGAGCCTTTAGGTTGCCATTGGACACATGCTATTAGATGTCAAGTTCTGGCCATTGTATCTCCAAAGATAGTCAAAAAAAACAAAACAACCAACCAACCAACAACAACAAAAAACCAATACACAATGCTAATTATGAAAGATCTAGGGATGAGGAGGAAAATAGGTACTGAATTAATAAAGGCATTGTTTACAATAAAAACCAACTCATGTCCACCCAAGGTGAAATGGGATTTATTGGTTGATGTAATTGCAAAGTCCAAAGTGTCTTCTTGCAAAGCCCATGTGTTTCAGGAAGGGCTAAATTCAGGGACCCAAATAACAGCATCAGAAGCCTGTATTTCTCCATCTTACTGCTCAACTTCATTCTGTAGACCGTCCCTCTTCATGTGACAGCAAGATGTCCATCAGGAACTCCAAGCTAACATCCTTTCAGACTAGTGATCACAGGGCATGTAGAACTTCTGTTTACTAATGTTTATATATTGTCTCCAAGTAAGGTTGTGATCATGCCTTGGTGGGTTGTATGTCCAAACCTGAACCAACCATTGTATACAGGAGACTGGGATATTTGGTCATCTCAGGCCATGAACTGAATCCACTCCATGTGAGAATCCGGTTACAGACATTATCACCAGGACTAAATGGAGGAAGAGAGGCGCTCCCCTTCTCTTCCACATATGTGGCTATAATTTTTAAAAAACAGAAAAATAAATATTGGCGTGGATGTGGAGAAATCAGAACTCTGTATGTTGCAGGGGTGGGGGAATGTAAAATGATACAGCAAAAGTTTGGTGGCTTCTCAAAAAGCTAAATGTAGAATTACCATACAACCCAGCAATTCCATTCCTAGGTTTCCACTCAAAATGGAAAACAGAGATTCAAATGGATATTTGTAGAACAACCTTCATCACAACATTATTCTCAATAGACAAAATGTAGAAAACAATGCAAGTATCGATTACAGATGAATAGACAAACAAAATGTGGTAGATTTTTACCACATTACCAGGGAATATTATTCATTCATGAAGAAAGGAATGAAATACTGAGGCATGCCACAAAGTGGTGAGCCCTGTAACATTATGCCTAGTGAAAGAAGCCAGATAGGAAAGGAAAAATAATGTATTATCCCACTTATATGAAATATCTAGATAGGCAAATCCCTAGGCATAGAAAGCAGATTAGAGGTTACTAGGGGCTGGGAAGGGGAAACAAGGAGTTATTGCTTAATGGTGACAGAGTTAAGTTTGGGATCATGAAAATGTTTTGGAAACAAATAGTGGTGATGGTTACAAACTGTGTGAATGTAATTAATGCCACTGAGTTTATACTTTGAGAACATTGAAGTGGATTTTTTGTGTTGTATAGGTATTTATATTATCACAATAAAAAAAGAAGGTTGGCTATTCTAGATTTCAGAAAAACTGTGACTGAGTGAAACCCTCTCTCAAAAACAATCAAAAACATAAAATAAAATAAAGAGACCAAAAGTAGTGTTGAAAACTTGACTAGATTCTGGTTCAAGATACATAGCTATAAGAGACACTTGGGGAGATTTTAATATGGAGCATAAATTATATGACATTAGGGAATTATTAATTTTGAGGTGTGTTAGGGGCACTGTGTTTATGTTTGATGATGTCCTTAGTCCAAGGAAGCCCTAGAGATACAGGGCTGGTGTGTCATGAACCCTATGACTTTTCAAATGGCTCAAAACTACAAAATTTATATAAGCAAAAATGGCAAAGATATTACAATTTTGAATCTAGGTCATACATATGTGGTTGTTCATTGGATTAGCTTTTCAACAGTTTCTGCATGCACTAAATTCATTTTATTATTTTTTTTGAGACACAGCCTCACTCTGTTCCCCAGGCTAGAGTGCCCTGGCGTCAGGATAGCTCACAGCAACCTCAAACTCCTGGGCTCAAGCGATCCTCTGCCTCAGCCTGCCAAGTAGCTGGAACTACAGGCATGTGCCATCATGCCTTGAAAATACTTTCTACATATTTTTTTAGTAGGTCAATTAATTTCTTTCTACTTTTTTAGTAGAGACAGGGTCTCGCTCTTGCTCAGGCTGTTTCGAATACCTGACCTTGAGTGATCCCCGGGCCTTGGCCTCCCAGGGTGCTAGGATTACAGGCATGAGCCACCACGGGAGGCCATGCATTAAATTCTTAAAAGTGAAAATTTGATGGAGAAATAAGTTGCCAAGATCTCCTTCCATTATTTAGATGTAAGTGCCCCAAATTGGAGGGGTATATAAAATTTCTGGATGTCCAAAGAGGAACATTTAAAAATGGTTAAAGATATTAGGACTATTTCAAAAAGACTGACCTTAGGAAAGAGAAAATAACAGATGGATTTGTTAGAGTAGGAGACTAAGAGGGCTGAGACCAGAAGGAGGGACTTGCAGATTGGGTCCAGGTGTTCAACAACCCCTAAACGAAGGTGATTAGAGGAGTCGGTAACTACTGGCAAGAATCAACTTCAACCTGCTTGTCAGGTATCTCTGTCACCTTACATGAACTTTGGCTAATTATATCATTTACATTGTGGTTTTTAAATTTCTCCACCCTTGAAATCACCATGAAGGTTCTGAGACCATGTAAAGTATAAAAATGATAGGGAACCCAATTCTAAGAATTACTTCCTAAATTCTTAGTAAAAGCTAACCTCTTGGTCTTGAATATTCTTCCCCTCAATTACTAAAACTATAAAAGATCTGAAACCACCTCCTCCCAATGCAGCTGCTCTTTTTCAAGCTTGCCCACTGTCTCTTGTGAGAGGGTACTTTTGCTTTCAATAAAAAGCCATTTCTTGCCAGGTTTACAGGGTTCGTCCTGAAATTTTTTTCCCCACAATCACTAAGAACTTGGAAAACCATCCCCTCAGATGCTGGTAACAGATTTGTAAATGTTCTTGGGCTTATAAGTTGTGAATAAAAATATGTTAAGTGAGGAACAAGGGAGGCTCATAGCAGGACAGTGGTGGTGACATCTCTTGGTATTACAGCAGGCCCAGGCCACAAATCCAAGTGCATACAGGAAATAAAAAGTAAATCCTACTGGAGTACATCGGGAGAGAAGGGTATGGTGGACAATTGCATCACTAAAAGTGTGAGACAGCATGGTACAAATATAAGTTGCCCACCCTTTGACCCAGAAACGTAACAGCTGGTGGGCTAAAGAGCTCACATTTGTGACATTTCAGGTGGTTGGCACACATTCTTCCATTTATTATAGTTCTAACAAAAATAATCCACTGTGGTAGGCAACATTATGATACCTGTTTTACAGATAAGGAAACTGAAATTCAGAAAGGTTAGTACATTTTCTCTAGAATACCCAGCTAGCAAGTGGTAGAGTCATGACTTTAACTCAGATTTTTTGGTGTCAGATCCTGGAAGCTTAATCAGTTTCCTTTACAGCAATATCCCAAAAATTTGACCTGTGAGCCACATGAGTCAGAATTAGCAGTGTGCTTCTTAAAATGCAGACCCCTGGCCCTCACCCCAGAACCATGGAATCAGAATGTTCAGAGTACAGCCCACAATTTTCATTCATAAATGAGTGCCCGACACTTATTCACAGTAAAGGTTAATCCAGGATGATGTCTTCTCCAAATCCTTAACTTATTTAGATCTTCAAAGAACCTTTCTTTAAATGGGTCCCATTCACAGGTTCCAGGTGGACATATTTGGGGGGGACACCATTCAACCCATTATGAATTTGCTCCTGATAACCACCTCTGGGGCAGCTGCTATAGTTATTCCTACTTTAGATGACAAAAGTGGCCATAGTCACACACCAGTAAG